GGCAGAGCCCTGGGCAGCTGGCAGGCGGGGGAGAGGGGAGGGGGACAGTAAGGGGCCGGGTGGAGGGCTGCCTCGTCAGCAGGGTCCTGGCCTCTTGAGTGCAGTGGTGTCCTCACAGCAGCCTGTGTCCTTTCTGTTAACCCTGTGTCTTTAGCTCCAGCCATGTTTTAGTTAATGTCTCAGGGCCAGGCCTGCTGCTCAGGGCTGTCCTTGTCCATATTCTGGTTGAGTCTGCCTGTCCCAGTATGGTCAACCAAAGTCTCTCTATGTTTTTGTTCCATAGGGAAATCAGAGGTCATGAAGATAAAACTAATGAAGGCTTGAAAGTCAGTGACACAAATCTAGGTCTGGCTCTTCTCCTGGGGTCCTAAGCAGCAGGGTGGGTGAGCAGAGCACTGTGTCCACCGCAGGCTATCGGAGGCCTATTGGCAAGGGTATCCTTGCCTTCACTGTGCTGTGACCCTAACAGCTCAGTCAAGTTCTGGCTCCTGTCTGGACTGAGGGGCTCTCAAGGGCTGGGTGGTCCAGGAATGCCATGCAATCTGCCAGTTGTGCAATGAGTAAGCAAGGCATCACATCTAATGGGGCACTGTTTGTGCCTGATGACCAATAGGTGAAATGTGTCTTGAGAAAGGAATCCTATAAGCAATGAAGGTAACCAGGTTGGATACTCATGGCCCTAACAGATCAGGTTTACTCTCAGGCGATGGGGTAGAAGAGACCCTAGGAAAAAAGCGCCATCTGTAGTCCAACAAAACTTTGAGTTTGCCGGGTGTGGTGGTACACACCTGTAATCCTAGCACTCGGGAGACTTGAGGCAGGAGGATCGCCGAGAGTTCAAACCCAGTCTGGGCTACATAGTGGGTTCAGGGCCAGCCTGAACTACAAAGTGAGATCTTGTCTCAAAAAGACAAAAACAACAAAAAATGGCCCCTTAGGTTCTGTCCTCCATAGACCTCCCAGCCTGACCGAAGCAGAAGCAGTAGGGTGAAGAGCTAGCTATCTAAGAAGTCCCTGTTAGTCAGAAACTGTTTCGAGATTATTTTTTGTTTTCCTTCCTTATTCCCCAACATCGGTGGCGGGATTTCAGAACAAAGTGGAGGCCCATGAGGTAGTGAAAGGAATGAGCAAGCAAGGACATGAAGGTTATTGACCTAATGTATGTGACTTTGGGAAAATCAACTAACCCTTCTCAGTCCTCAGGGCCTCATTCGCAAACTGATCAAGGTAGATAACCAGTTAGGAGCCTTCCAAGTCCTAAAATTCACACTTCAGCAGAGTTGCCTTCAAATCTTACTGCTCTAAAAAAAAAAGTTCTGAGACTGGGCATGGTGACACATGCCTTGCATCTCAGCACTCTGGGAAGCTGAGACAGGAAGACAGCAAGTTCCAGCCTAGCCCGGGGAATTTAGGAACTTGATGAGACCCCGTCACATAGTAACAATACAAAACAAAAAGTTTTGAAGGGTTGGGGATGTAGCTCAGTGCTTGCTTAGAATACAACAGGTCCTGTTTTGAACTCAGCACTGAGAAAAAAAAGTTTTAAAGATCAACAGGTCTCATCACACTTTTCTTTTGAAATTGGTTCTCACTATCAGGCCAGCCTTGAATTCACTATGTTGCCCAGGCTGGCCTCAAACTCTCAGCGATCCTCCTGCCTCAGCCTTCTGAGTGCTGGGATCATGGAGGTGCACCACCAAGACTGGCTTTACTCACACATTTTAAAATAGATATAAAATATTTTATAAAATTATTTAAAATAATTTTAATATTTCATAAAATTTAATATTTCATAAAATTATTTAAAATAATTTTAAATAGTTGAAAAAGACATACTTTCTAGTGTGTTATATTTGCTGGCACTCATATTTAGCACTTTTTCTTGTGATGTTGGGGATCAAATCCCGTGCCTCCCATATGCTATGCAAGTGCTTTACCAATGAGCTACAACCTTAGTCCTGTGTTACTCCTTTAAATATATCCAATGAAATCTAAATATTACAGCAATGAGATACCTCACCATTATCCACTTAAAAAAACATGTCACAAGAGCTTAAGTTGGAAATTATATTTCCATTCTACTTCCTAGAATTTATCCTGTTTTTAGACTTGAATCTTTAATTGATTATCATACTTAATAGTAAAAAAAAAAAAGCAATGTACAATTTAATTTTTTAAAAATCTTTTTTTTTTTTTAGTACTGGGAATTGAACTCAGGTCCTTGCGCTTGCGAGGCAGGTGGTGGCACTACTGAGCTAAACCCCATGCCCTTAATTTTTAAAAAATTTCCTGTGACTAAAAAGTCCTAAGAGTTAAATTTTTAAAATTTTATTTATTTTTTGGTGGTACCAGGGATTGAACTCAGGGCCTTGCATTTGCAAGGCAGGCAACAGCTCCACTGAGCTAAATTCTCAGCCCTAAGAGTTAAAATTTTTTCTTCTGGGCTGAATTTTCTTTTTCTTTTGGACTGAATCTTCATAATTCTTAGCAGTACACAATATAGTAGTACAAAAACATTTATAGGAGCCAAGCATAGTGGTACATGCCCATAATCCCAGCATTAGGGAGGCTGAAGTAGAAGAATCACTTTGAGTTTGAGGCCAGCCTAGACCAGTGTGTTCAAGGACAGTCTGAACTACATTGTGAGACCCTATTCCCCCTTCCCCCCCAAAAAATGTTTTATACATCTTGACAACAAGATTTTACTGGAAACGCCTCTTACTGGGAATGGATGATCTGTGGGGCCGTGAAGACAGGAGGTTTTGAGGACATCAACAGTTTTAATTTGTCAATTAATTTAACACACTGGATATAATACAGGTCTAGGTGAGCTGGATAGCATTTAGGGGGTGAAGTGGCAGAGGGAACTGAAAGGCCATGTGGGAAAGGAGATCTGACACGACAGCTTCACACTAGGCAGATTAATTGAGGAAAGAGAACACGAAGGGGCCAAGAATCTAGACACTTATTGTTTAAATATTACCGATTTGGAGCCAGGCATAGTGGTTCATGCGTGTAGTCCCAGCTACTCAGGAGGCTGAGGCAGGAGGATCATTTGAATCCAGAAGTTTGAGACCAGCTTGGGCAACACAGCAAAACCTTACTTCAAAACAACATAAAAAAATCTAAAAGAACAAAACCAAACCACCTACTATTTGGCCATGAAATAGGTACCTGTCTTAAGTCACTTTCCTTACTGCTGAGGCAATACCTGATATCCACAATGTAAGTGGGAGAGAAGTTTATTGGGGCTTGTGGCTTTTAGAAGTTTCAGCCCAAAACTGGCTGGCCAGGGCAGGAAGTGCACGGTGGAAAGGCCTGCTCATATCACAGTGGCCAGGAAGCAGAGACAGAGAGAGGAGCTGTGGAGGGATGTACTTCCAGGTCGTACCACAGTAATTCGCTTCTTCTGACTACCCCACACCTCCTAAAAGCAAATCAGCTACAGTGCTTCCATGATCCATCACCCTCCAAAAACCTTACCTCTGAACACAAGACTCTTTAGGGATACTCTAGATACAAACCATAACAGTACCCCTGCTACCTCTTGCTGTGACAGCCTATGAGTCACCCTGAAAGTGTATATCCTGGTTTGAAAACTGCTTAGAGAGCATGACATGCTGTGGGGAAAGTTCTAGTCAGAGCAGGGTGTGAATCCCATCCCCTCCTGACCTTTGTTCAGTTTGCTCTGGGGCCAAAGGTTCTGACCAGGAGGCATCTGGATGGGACACTGCTGGCCAGGTTCTCTGGCTCTGTGTTTATGAGCCACCTCTTACAAAGACTGGAGCAGCTCCAGAGCAGAGGAGTTGCAGGTATTCCTGGGCTCTCACAGAAAACATGCTAACCCTCCATGTGTACACGCGGGCAAATTTCTGAGCTTGGTGAGGAAGAGTCTATTGCAAGGCTCAAATGACAAATGATTTTAGTATTTCCTTTCATCTTGAGATATAAAACAGAAACCTGACGACTGTGGAAGCCGTTTTCTTGAAGTAAGAGGACAAAAGACCTCAGATAGGAAAAACAGTGAGACAGGGACACTAAGCCAGGTTCCCACAGAGAGTTTATTGAGGGAGCCAAAGTGAGTGAGAGGACAAAGGAGTCCTACTTCAACTTCGGTCCTTGAAGCTGCTGGCCTCCAGCACGATAGGAACCTCTGGGAAATTAGGACCTGCCCTGTTGGGGCCACATGGAGCTTTGGAGACTACTTCCTCTCACACCACAGCCTGTCTAACCCCAGTGATCTAGGCATGGTAAAGAGAGACCTTATCCCCTCCCCAGAAGGGTGGTGAGGAAATACCTCCACTCACCCTGCACTTCCCCAAAGACCTCAGGAAGAAAGGCCAGAACACCTGGACCTCTCTCTGGCCAAACTAATCCTCAGTGTGATGACTTGGGCAATGGGCTTGGATGACAGGTCCACTCAGACCCGACCTAAGGCATCTTCTCTAGGAGCCAACACCTAACATCCAAACATGATTAAAAACAGGATAGTTCTTTTGATGGCAGAGGCCACATCCCAGATAATGGCAGTCCTCCAGGCCCTGGCCAGAGATAGGGACCCCAAGCAGACTGGGTATGAATGCATGAGGAGACCATTCAGCCCGTGGAGTTATCTTCCAGGGCTCAGGTGGGGCTCAGAGCTTGGGCTACTGTTTCATGCCATCCAATGCCAGTGATTCCTCCACACATTCCCCATAAAGGAAAGGGAGGAGGAGACAGAGAACCTGGTGAGAGATTCACCCTATAAAAGGGTAACGGTCAGAATGGTCTACTGGGGTGGGGAAAAGGCCATAGTGGGGCGGGACACTGGGGCAGGGGGGCTGGAGCATTCCTCAGACTCTGGCATGTCATCCTGGAAGTACTCAGCCTGGCGATACTGCCACAGACGCAGGTTCCCGTCCCACTGCAGAGCAGAAGATGGCAAGTGTCAGGAGGTACCGCCCTTTCACAGGTCTAGGCCCCACTTGTACAGTAGGCCCTGACAATTTGAAGCTCACCGAACTGCTGACAATCTTCTCCTCGAAGGGGTGCCAACTGACATCACGCACACAGGCCTTGTGGTTGGTCAGCTTCTTCACAATGTGACCACTGAGGAGGTCATACACTGTCCAGGAAAGGCAAGAGCAGAGAGGGGCTGCCATAGCACCTCTAAACCACCCCTCAGCTGCCCGAGTGGCACCACTGACCTGCCTCTTGGGCAATTCCCCACTTTTCCCAGAGGGGCAAAGCTCAACCCAGAGACTGGTATTATTTGTTTTTTTCCCTGCTCCTTTTCCTACCTTGGGTTCAGGATGTGGTGTAATGGAGTGTGGGTATCCCTGGCCCTTCGTTAAAATTCAGAGGCCTACATTTAGGAAAATGCAGTAGCTTTAAAGCTTTTAGCAAGATATGAAGGCAGTAAAAGTGAACCCCAGGCTGTCTGCAGGTGTGTGCACATGCAGTTCTCCGTGTGAACTGGGTATGTCTCTCTTGCGCTGCCTGGGACTCTATTTCAGTACCTGCCTAGGTGCAGCATGCAGGCAGCTGTGTCTCTGTACGTGCATTCCTTCTGCTTCAGTGACTACATCTCCTTTCTTACTCAATGCTGTCTTTCTGTGTCATTCTTTTTGCCTGTGTTCCCTCCTACCTTTCATCTGCAACCCCTTTCATAAACTGTCTAAAAACCAGAACCAACTATATTTTTATATTTACTGACTAGAATTCTATGTTCCTTTTCTTATTTTAAAGTGTTCATAAATAGAATGTTTTCCCTTTCTCTGTTTAAGCCTCCCTTGCTCTAAGCAACATAAAATTTCACATGTAGCTCTCATTAGGCTTTTTAAGGTGGTTACTCTGGTTCTAGGTGGAAAGTCAAAGAAACATCCTGCCCTTCCCAAGACCCAACTGACATAACCCTTACCGACCACTTTGCCAGTGGAGCAGCCACTGTAGATGAACTGCTGGCCCGTGCTATGGGTGGGGGAGAATCGGCAGCGGATGAGGGTGTGTAGCACCCCATGGCCCCGGTAGGTCATCAAGGAACTGTCCCCTGGGAGCTTCATCTTCCGCCAAGCTGAGTAAGGATATAGAGAGCCCTAGATTAGGAAGTCTGCTTCTGGACTGTCCTGTACCATAGCCTGTAAGAAAAGACTCAGGGTCAACTGCCTTTCTAAACTTAACTATCGACTCTTTCTCCATCTAAGAGTCAGCAATCACCAGTATGGCCCTGCTGCCATGATACTAAACACTTCTGTATTGGTTCAGCAAATAAAGGGTTAATGCCCGGACAAGCAGGTTCCGGGAGGGCTCCAGGATCCCCAGACTACAGATAAATTCACTGTGCCCTTGCCAGGTCCTATCAGTGATGAAGTATTTTAACTACTACCCCTGACCCTCAATCTACAGAGCTCATTTCTATTTTCACTCTCACCTTTTTTGGGCACCTGCTGCCAGCGATAGTCCCAGTTTTGCTGTGTGGCTGCCTGGCGTGAGGCTTCCATGCCTTCTCGGCTAGAAAAGCGTCGGATATCCCAGAGTTTGATGGTCTGGTCTTTGGAGTTGGAGATGAGATACCGAGCATCACCCTATGAATCCAAAGATGAATAACGGGGCACCAGAATGCGCCAATGTCAGTGCGGGCCGGTCCAGTCCCTTACTCTAGCTGGAGGGTCTGAACTCTAGTTCTTTGACTTCTCTCACTTCTTCCTCTAAGTAACCTTACTTTTGATGCTCTGTTTCAGATCCCACCCCCTGGATAGGCTTTCCTTTCTCTGTCCAGAGCACTGGGTGGGTCTCCTATTCTGTCCAGCTTAGACTGTCTTCTACATTTCTTGCAAAGAAAGCCTGTCCTGCTGCTTAAGGACTGGTGGGAAGAGGAAGCTCATGTTTCTTGGCTTAAGCCCCTTTCTCAAGCTCTTAATGCCCTGGCTAATGAGGAGTTTGTCAAGTTCTCACACCAGTCTATTTTTATGCCCTCCTGGGAAATCAGAACCACAGCAGCCTGGCTGTGCAGTCCTGCCTTCTTGCTCACCTTGCTGTCAATGAAGGTGATGCCATCCTGGTGTCCAGCCAGTGCACCCACAGGCTTGGGGTCATCCTCCCGCATGGTGCGTCGATCCCACACCTTGCAGATGGCATCATCTCCCCCAGAAAACAGGATTTGGGAGCTTATATCAGCAAAGGCCACTGCATTCACATCATCCTCATGAGACTCAATCTAGGGGAGAAGGAAGTTGCTATGCTTAAGATTTCTTTCTACTCTTAAAACAACCAAAGAGCAGAACACAGAAGCTCTAAGTCTCAAGAGGAATACCTGAAGGATACGCCGGTTTTGTTCTCGGTCAAAAACATACAGGCAGCCATCATTGGCCCTGAAAGAGAAGGGATAAGGACTGAGAAGGACTGAGAAGGACTGAGAGGACTGCTGCTATATGCTCTGGAGAGGCCTGCTGAGGAGCCCTACTGAGGGGCCAGGAGAGGAGTTATTTGGCTTTGCTCCTAAAGAGGCTCAGGACCTGCCATTCATGCTGCGGAAATGGTAAACAAGAGGTAAAGCAGCCCACAAACCTTGACCTTGGAGAGGCTGTTCTGCACAGTGACCAGTGCAGTTTCTGTAATGGCAAAACTGATCTCTGGCAGATCCTCTGCACTGGTGATTGAGGGAGAAATCCCTTGTAAAGACTCACCCTCCTAGTACTTCTCGTCCATCTGCGGAGACAGCAATGGAGAAGACAGCAAAGCGACGTTCATCTGGCCTGAAGAGAGCAAAGGGGCCATGTTAAGTGGATTTCTCTTCCACATCTAATAATTTACACAGATAGCACAATATAATATAATGAAGGTTATAAAGAAGACAAAAGGGGAATGACAGAATATCCTCGAATGAGGATCACCTCCGTGAGAACTCAGAAATAATCCTGCCACCGTCTGTTTTACTCTGGTCCTATGGGTGAGAGGACAGGATGGATAGCTCCCTTCCAGGAATACACATAGAGAAACTTGCAACCAATATACTTTTCCCTCTAAGTGGGAATATCAGTTTAAGAGGTTTGCTCCTGTAGAGCTTTGCTGAGAAGTTTCTGATGAGTATGACAGATGGGAAGCCAATACCTCAGATCCAGGGCAGTGTGTGTATCTCCTTCCCCATAGATGTTGCAGATATGAACTAAGAGAAGCAAGAGAAACAAGATCTCTTATGACTTGGGGAAAGACAGGTGAAGGAGACAGAACAAAGGGCAAGGATGTCAAAGGACCCTAAAAGTATTTTTACAGGACAAAGCATGGAATCTTGGCTTAGAGGAGAAGGGCACATGGAGACATCAGGTCCCAGGCTGGACAATGAAAATCTGGTGCATACTCACTGTAATCAGACCAGCTGGAGTACAGGAAGTGGCTGCCATCAGGGGTGAAGGCCACATCCAGGACACTCCAGCCTACATCCCGGGCCTTGATGCTCTTGAATTTGTGGAAGCGGCCATACCGGCAGTCATATAGTCGGATTGTCTGGTCTATATAATCAGGGATCAGGTAGAATTATGAAACACCTGCCTTTCATTCAGTGTATTTGTGGAGTCCTACCTTTATCATAGGAAACATGCTCTAGCTAAGCCAGGCTCTGAGGCCCCTGTTCCTGGAGCTTTCTAGTCTTAGTCAAGGGGAGTTTTTCTTGTTCTGTGGAAAGGCAGTTTAGAGGAACAGGAACTGGTACCTTGGCAAGCGGACATGAAGATCTGACCATCTTTGCTGTAGATGCCACAGAAAGCCTTTTGAGAGTAGGTATCAGTGAAGCCCAGATCATTGGGCAAGAAGCTGGCAAAGCAGAAAGAGTGGGTAAGGGGAGCTCAGAATGAGAATCCCAGTTAGCAGAATGGAATATCAGTAAAAGGACATTCTTCCTTTTTGGCTTTGTTCATAATACCATCTTTCATTCATTTCTCCATCTTCTAAATGTCTACACTTTTCTACTTTGTTTACTCACAAAGCTTTAACCCCACTTAATCTAACCTTAATATCTCTGAGGATCCTTTAACATCTACCCCTTCCAAGTTTCAAAGATAAGACCTATCTGGCCCTCAGAGTCTCTCCACCGAGCCCCATACTCACTGAGACATCACTCGAGACTGTTCTCCAAGGGAGAAGCTTCCCCGGTGGCAGAGGCCCCGTTCTCTCTAAATGGAAGGGATTGGTGAATATTGCTAGCAGAAAAAGAGGGCTACTTCCATCACACCAAGCCCCCAACTCCATAGATACTGCTCTTGTTACAGAAATGGATGCCACATACAGTAGTGTGTCCCATGCACTCCAAAGTAGACTGGCTAACTCTCCAGCCCCAGCCCTTAAGGCTTCCTTACAAAGTTTACTTCTCTTTTTTCTTTGGGGCTGGCAGAGCCTTTGGCTGCCTCAGCAGGCCAGCTGGAGGAGAAGAGACCTACCTGGTACAACATTCGAGGAAAGCTGTAATCCTGGGCTGCCCGTCTAATCCCTAGCCGCCCTGTGGCCAATTCCACCTGTGTCTTGATCTCATTGCATTCCAGCTCGTGGGTGTCAGGGGTTGCATCCACTGTGAGTACCAAAAAGAAGTTTCATCCTACATCTTCCAGTCCCACAAGACAGTTAATAAACTATGCCCAAGCCCACCTGATATGGCTGAATATCTGAATATTCTGGAACTGTGAACACTTCCCTTATTCTCTCAATTATCTCACCTTCTTTTAACTTAACCTATTTAAAATTGTTTTATTAGTGCGTTCGCAGTACATAATGATTACAGTCATTGTGGTCAACTGAATGTATTCTTCTTCATTAGAACAACAACAGAAAAAGGGCTTCTAGTGAAAGCCTTCCGGGCCAGGGATTTAGCTCAGTGGTTCGGTGGCCTGCCTTGCAAGCACCAAGGACCCAAGTTCAATCCCCCGTACCAAAAACAAACAAACAAACAAACAAAAAAAAACCAAAACAAAAAACAGAATCTAGTGAAAGCCTTCCAATATTAATGTCTTGGTCTCTTTGTTCTTACCAGGTGGGTTGTATCGATCCCCAAGACGACCATCCCAGGCACTGTCATGCTCTTCCTCTGAGTCCGAGAGGGCCTGGATGAGTTGTAAATTTGCTGCACCTCCTCCCTGCACCAACCTCACTTGGCCTCTGTGGAGAGAGCCCCATTATAGAGGGACCCCTTCCCCCAAACTAATCAAATTCAGACTCAATGGCTAGCTGGCTCTTAGACCATTTGATAAGAATTTTAAAGCTGACTAGACTGTGGTTATTAATTTCAATCGCCCATAAAATAAAGTCGGAAACTATTCTGTACTATTCTGAAACTATTCATGAACTCAGAACCCCAACATGCCCCTGAGGTGGAATTACTAAATCGACTTCCTAGAGACCTAAAAATTTGCAGCACCTCCTTCTGAGTCTCTGCTGGAGGAATCCAGCATAGAAAACAATCTTATCTTCTCCCCAAGGAGCCATAAACAAAGAAACAAAACCAGCTGCACCCTTTTCAAGTCAATCCCTGGTGGTCACTCCCTTCAAGGGATTCTTTCTTCAAGAGTAAGGTTAATTTCAACTTGTTTTACAAGGAAATAAATTTACAGGCCTCATATCACATGTCAATTGCTTCACCCTCTCAATTCTTTCCTTTACCCCCTCGTCACGCCTTTTCCTCCAGGCTCCCTTCTTTTACTTACTTTGAAAATATACATTTGTGTGGTTATAGCCAGAGAGGCTCCCCTGAGCAGCTCCTCAAACACAAGAGCAGGTCCTTCTAGCGGCCTGCCCCAGGTAAGAACCACTCTTACTGGGTATGGTGGAGTTGAGTGTCAGGACTACTCAAGTCTGTTTTGTTTGGATAAACAGCCATCCAAAGCTAATTCTATTCCTGCAATTTTCCTGCCTGGACTTGAGATCAAGGGACTGTGGTGACACCTTGTGCAGTCACACTAAAGGGTAAGTTACCTGCGGAGGAGATAGGCCAGTACCTGGGCCAGATCCACATCTTCATCCTCCTCTTCCTCTTCCTCACTCCGACGCAGGCCAGCCCCTCTTCGGGACAAGCCCTCAGAGGGGTCTCCAGACCCGGATCCTGCGCTGCTGCTGTTCCGTGATCCCATCTTCTGCTCACAGCATCCTTAGGTCCTGAGCAGGGTCTCCTCCTGTCACTTCCTTAGTTTTGGTGAAAGCAAAGCTTGCTCTAGAAATACTAGGGTCTCCTGAGAAGAGGTGTAGCTATCTCTGGGAGAGTGACCCTTCCTAGGGGCCGAGATCCCGTCTCTTTAGCTTATGACAACTCCCAAGGCTTCAGGAGCACAAACCTTCCCTAATCTTGTGAAGCAAGGAAAGCAGAATGAAGCAAGCCTGGGTCGCAACCCTAGGTCACCAACAAGAATCTTCTGAAGAGAAATTTCTGTTTCCTACCCCAAACTCACCTATCAAGATCCCCCCCCCCCCCGGGAAGGTTCCCCGGTAACCTCTTGTTGACCAATCAAAACGTCGCGGAAGAAAGCGCCTCAGAAACCTATCTCATCTAGCCAATCAAACGACTTAGGACTCTGAGACCCCCCCCCGACACCGCCCCCTTACCGACCAATCAAAATGCCTTCTTGCGAGAGCCGGCATCAGAGACAGCCAATGAAGCGAGAATTCAGCCTAACACCCCCTCCTTCTTTGACTCACGCCCACGTGGTGTGCCGGGGGTGTGTACGCCAAGAAGAGGAAGCGGAGAAGCACCTCCCACTGAAACCTGCGGTTACACCCCGCGCGAGACCACCCACCAGTCAGGAGCAGTCGCAGGGCCGAAGTAGCTCAAGGCCGTGTTTACACAAAATGCCGCCGCAGCGTCGGCCAACCGCTCCTCCGTCACGCGCCTCCTTCGTCATGTATCTCCCGGCTTCCCGGCCGGCGAGCTGCGGACGTCACTGACGCGCCTGACGGCCCCGCCCTCTTGGCTCGCTCACTGGATGGTCGAGCTCGCTGATTGATAGGTGGGCGGGAGAAAGTGCGTGCGGGACTCAGGGGAGGGGAAAGTGGGTGACGAAAGGGGAGGGAACTCCAGGAGGGAGGGCTGAACGCCAACTGACAGCTTCCTGGATTAGAGATAGTGGAGCTACAGGAGGGTCGGGGGTTAAAAAGAAACGGTTGGTGGTTTGCTCCCTAGAAGTATTTTTGCAAGGGATACAATTTGCTGTCGGTCCCCAAAGATCATTTATTTGGTCTCGAACATTTTATTTTTTTCCCCGAACATTTTAAACAATGCCTCAGAGCCTCTATGGGTGTGTGTGTGTG